GATAAGACAACGCGAAATTGCGCCATGAAAAAATATCTCTGTTCGCGCACCACGAATCTCGAAACCGGCTGAGAGAGGAAACCCTTTTTCTTTCTTTCTCTCCATTTCCTTTGCCGTTTGCTCCTCTTTCGCTTTTGTGCAGCGAGAGAGCATGGGGATAACGTAAGCAAGGGTTAAATGACAGCGCGTTAAGGATTAATGTTCAATCAAAAGTTGGAGACGGGGCGGGGGAGAGATAATCCACCTTGCCCCCCGACGGGAATATATTCATACTCTGTCGAAGAAATTTTTCCCTCTCCCCGGCCCTCGCGCGGTATTAAACTCGGCGGCTCCAACTTACACCGTGCGATCGCGAAAGGGATGGTCTAAGAGCGATAAAATCTTCTTCGTTTATTCATATCGTAATTCCGCCGCCGAAGGAATTTCCTCAAGAATGGCGAGAGAAGTGGGAACGGGACTTGAGAGAGAGGGGAAGGAGAGAGCCGATAGATCCAACAAAACTACCGTGGCGTGAATAAGTGAAGGGATAAATAAATGAACCGGATACACGATGCCCGCCCTTGCTCGCGCGAATTCGAAAGGGAACGCTGCCGCGAAAGAAATCGATTCGCGCGGTCGATACGATCAAGGGACGCGAGGTGCGTGCGGGATGTGCACGTGGTGCACTCACGAGGGCAAAAGGCTATGAGACGAGGAATGAGAATAGTCCCGCCGACTAAATAAACCACGGGGCTCTACAATTCGTAGCGAGCCGTCCCGGCCGACCTCTCGAATTCGGAATCATTTACGAAGCGCGGCGGCCCCCATTGTGACCCCGAGGAAATTCACGCGCGAGAATCACAAGAGGAAAGAAATACCTCTCGCTCCGCTGCGCGTTCTCCTCCCTCCTCTCGTCGATATTGTGCGCCGCGTAAACTTCGCGATCGGGTGCGCCGAATTTTTCTCCTACCAGCTCGCGATCGACCGTGGCGGATCGGAAGGAAGAGCTTCGCTGAATGTACGACGTATGACAGAAATCGCGCATTTATTCTTACCCAGCCATAAATTTGGACATCGCGACTTGGCAGGCGAAATTTCACTGACTTATCGATCAATACATATATACATATGCATATATATATATATATATATATATATATATATATATATATATATATATATATATATATATATATATATATATATATATATATATATATATATATATATATATATATATATATATATATATATATATATATATATATATATATATATATATATATATATATATATATATATATATATATATATATATATATCTTTAGTATTGAATGTGGAACAAGCATTTTCTTTTGAAATTATTATACAATTCTGAATCTCTCATAAAATTGGACGCATATGATATTAGATAAAACTAACTCAACCGGATTATCACAAAATGTCAAGGAGGTAAGATTAGGAGGAAAAAGTGCTATGTCCAGGTTTCGTGCATCCTACATTTTCCACAGAGTCCTATAGGGAATAACCATGCCATATCTGGTCTAGATCGTTCAAAGAGCTTAAAAGTGTATAGGGGACACACAGACAGGACAGAGAGACAAACGTTCTATTTTATATATGGATTGCTCTGCTCCAAATCTGTCAAGAGTTGAATTTTTAAGGCCACGATCGGATGCCAAGAAGCAGACTAGAGAGAGAAAGAGAGAGAGAGAGAGAGAGAGAGAGAGAGAGAGAGAAAGACTGAGAGAAAGAGAAAAACAAATCTTGATATATCTAACAAATATGATGCCGATAAACGGATATGATATGCTAACTAGATAAACAGAATCCTCGCATGATATGCCCCAATTATAAGCGCAAATCACTATTCCGAAGTTAACGCCACAGTGAGTCTGCTCGACAAACAGCAGCTTCCTGTTCGATCTCTACGCTCATTACGGTCGTTCGTTGTGTGGATCAGTAAACTAGGACCTGTGTTAACTTCCTGTCTCTTGTCCCTCTCTCTCTCTCTCTCTCTCTCTCTCTCTCTCTCTCTCTCTCTCTC